TTTGTTTGGGGCAGCTAAAACATAGTTTGTAATAAATTGTGTATATTTCAAATTTTGATCCCTGATACCTCTGTAAATTTCTCAATTTACAACTTTCATGTGTTTCCTGAAAGCTGTCGGGCTTCCTCCAGAATTATTAACCATTGTTAGATCCCCAATGCGTCTGTGGAGGAGGGTCACTCGGAGCTACTGGTATCAATAATAGCTCTACCACAGAGAAAAAGTGGCACTTTTGAGCATCTCCTCTTAGATTTTTCATTTGAGGATCATATTTGAAAGTTCTTTTTGTGTGGTCCCCCTGGTATCTTAACACATGGGCCTTATTTCTCTTGCGCAGTGATCTAAGGCTTCTCTTTATACTGTAGGGCCAGCTGCTGTAGGATGATGGCCCAGTTCAGGGAGGCATCTTCCTTGCAAGGTGATTTTTGAAATTATTTCTAGGCCATTTTGTTAGGTGAGAGCCAAACTTATTGTTTATTTATTTAGTATTTTAGGACACGGTCTACAGGGTCTCACTATGTAGATCGGACTTGTAGTGATTCTCCTGTGTTCAGCTCCCTAGAGCTGGGATTACAGGCGCGCCACCATACCCAATCTCAATCCCTGTCTCAGCGTGCCCCAGGGGTGGGGCCGGCACAGCAGGCCCAGGGATCCAACTCCAGCCTCTGTGTCTGCCTAAGCAGGTGCTTTAGTCTGCTGAGGTATTTGGTCAGCCCTTCAAACTTATTGTTTAAGTGCAATAAAATTCAATTCTAGCCAATCCTTTTCATGAAGTGCCTCTGGGAAAAATGTAGACATCTTTGAATTGTAGATTTATATAATGTTTAAGATTACTGAAGGCCAGCGAGGTAGCTCAGTGGACTAAGCACCTGCTTAGACAAGCTCAGCAACCTGTGTTTGATCCCTGGCACCACTGTGGCACCGACCCGCCCTGGGCTTGCTGAGCTGGGCATGGTGGTGCACACCTGTAATCCCAGCTCTGTAATCCCAGCTGAAAACAGGAGGATCACTGTGAGTCCAAGCTGCTTAGTGAGACCCTGTACCAAATACATACAAATTAAAAAAATAATAAAGATTATTGAATATGAATCAATTGAAAAATAAAGGCTAACCACATACCCTAAACAGATCTCATTATTTGACTTACCCAGAATATTACCAAGCGTTGTGAACCTGCCTTGAGTTAGATGACTCCGTGTGTCAGAAGCAGTATCAAGTGGATGAGTGAGCATAATTAAAAATACATTAATGAATGTATAGAAACTTTTTGTTGTCTTTAAGCCTTGAGCCTTGATACCGTCCCACTAGTTGTAGGCCGTGGGCTTTTGATGTTCTCATTGCAGTGTTCTTGCGATCGCTCCATCCACAGCCCCGTCAGTGACCAGTGTTGTGTCCTTCCGAGATAACGGGCCCTAGGTAGAGTCTAGGATCACAAGCTGAGCAAGCCAAAAATGGTCCAGGTCGAGGAAGACTTGGCACATACTGGAAAGCTAAGTTACTTAGCTGATACAACAGCTGACAGTGAAATGCCCGATACCGTCCTGTCATCTACGTGTGGCCTCACTAGGAGAGCCGGAGGGGCTTCTCCTGCCTGTCCGCTTGGGTGCACTTTGAGCACTACGAGTGCTAGCGGGAGGGCAGCTCTGCTGCCTTTTTCTGGTTGGTTCTGGAAACCTGAGGCTTGCTCTGGCCAGAGAGTGGCAAGGCTGTGGTCTGCAGAGTGAGTCTGCAGCGAGTGGGGTTGGCAGTCGATACTGAGATTCATGTGCAGATGTTTCCTTTACAGTGTGCCTTGGAATAACTTCAATACTGAGTATGGTTTTCACAACCTAATGTAACTGTATTTAGATCAAATGCATATAATTTAAATATTTCTTTTGTATAACAGTTACCATTTTTTTATTTACACATATATATGATATGTATGAGATATATATTGATATATATATCTCATAAATATATCCCTGATCATTTTTCATCCCCCGATCCCCCTTCTCTACTGTCTCTGCCCCATCTCTAAAGTGCTTACCTTCCTGTCTCCTGCTATCTCTCCTTTATTGTTTTTGGGTTTTCAAGATCCAACTACTTTCTTACAAATGGTGTGATTTTTACATAGTGGCGGTAAAGTACAACGACCAGTATTCATTGTGACGTGTAATTACACTGCCCACAAAATTATAGTTAACTTGCTGGGTCTATGTTTGAGAATAATTGTTTAATTCTGATTAAAAAAATTAAAAATATCAGCATCCAGGACCTTATAAATCTGTCTGTATTAGTAACGCGTTTTGTAGTGCTTCTGTGATGGCTCTGTGGCTATGTATTATCACCTGAAAAGAGTACGGATATTAATATTATTTTTGGGATTTCTGCTTAAGCACTGTCTTCCGGTAACAGTCTGTAAAGATAAAGCCTGGGCTTTTTTTCTGGCCTTGGTCTAACAATAGGACCCAGCGGTGATTATTTCCTTATTGGTTTATAGATTCTTGCTTTTCATGATAGAATAGGATGATGGGACAAAACAAATACTCTTGCAGTCCCAACTTGATAATGCATGGTCTATGTAGAAAGAAGGAGGTTTTGTTTTGTCTGTTTGCGTTTATCAGGGCTCACTGTGTAATCCAGGCTAAGCTTGAATTTGCAGTCCTCCTGCCTCAGCTTCCTGAGAGCGAAGGTTCAGGCCTGCACCGCACGCCTGACTTCCTTTTTCTCCTGTATCCATTCCACAGCTGTTTGTCGGGCTCTTGTCTCCTCTGTCCGGTTTCTGTTACACTGTACGACATTCTGGGTGTTAGTGCAGAATGTTTTCTACAGTTTGAAGTACTTCTGTGAAAAAGGGTAAATGGACTTGATTTGACTTCTTAGCGTTGGCGAAAAGAAGCCTGAAATCACCAGTGAGCAGAGAGCTCAGTTTGTAGAGCTTTACTGAAGTGTGTGGAATCAGTCAAGAGCCCCATCTGACTTGGACATTCAGCTCACGCAAGGGAAGTTAATTGAAGTTGCTGTATAGCCCGCTTTCCTTGTCTGTGGAAAGATGTGGTTGGACTGACGATACTTTAGAGCCCTTTTAACGCTGATATTTTATGCTTTCTATATTGTAATGTTTGAGAAACAAGTAAGAAATATACATTCTTTTGCAAAGAATGTACTGAGCAAGTTTTTAAGAAAATGTGTGCATTGCTATCTGTATTGGCCAGGCTTAGCGTGAGGCTTATGCTAAATTTTGTTAACTTTAGTGATTGGGACAGTCAGCCTACGACTGTGTATCATTTGGGACGGACATCTTCTGCAATTGCTGTCATGGGAGACTCTAATCATGGATTTGTAAAACTAAGAGTTTTTGTTTAATAGTTAAGGCTATTAGTATTTATCATTACTAAAATTACTGTTTTTCTTTTTTTGGTTGAGACATGGTCTTGTTCTGTAGTTCGGTCTGGCCTTGCACTTGTAGAAATCCTCCTGCCTCTTCCTCCCGAGAGCCGGGATTACAGGTGTGTATCACCATGCCTAACTTTAAAGTAGTTTTTTATATTGTTGAGTACTTTGAGATTCTTAACTCAGAAAAAATCCAGTCTATGGGACCGACACTGGAGGGGCCGGGCAGTTAAATATTTGTGGAAGGTGTAAGAGATAGCAGATTCGTACTGCCTCAGCCTCAGGGAGGGAGGCAACCCTGGACAGCTGCAGAGTTCAGAATCACAGAGGTGCTAATTAAGACAAAAGGAACGTTGGCTAGGCCTGTGACAGGTAGCTTGTGGAGCTCCAACCAAGGTGACAAGTTTTAAAGACAGTTTTAGAAAGAATTTGATACCTATTTTCATCAGTGTTTTTATAGTACCAAATTTAGGAAAACCCTTGTGAATAATATAACTAAGTCCAAAACTAAGGTTGGTATTTTTAACTATAAGATAAAATAAATAAAAATATATGGTATAATATCAGATGTAAAATTTATGTTTTATAGTTGTGTAACTTTGTAATATTTCATTCAGATCAACTCAGTAAATTTATGTGATTTGAGTTTTATTTCATCTAAAAATGTTAAAATACATTTTAAAATCATAAATATGGTATAAATCTGGATTAAAATAATGCTGTCCAATACCCTGGAAAAAAGTTTCCTATAGCGCAGAGGCTTAAGCGCCTGCCTTGGCAATCACGAGGTCCTGAGTTTGATGCCTGGTACCGCAAATAAAATTTCGTCATTTTGCTGAAACTTCCTTTCAGATTGCAACTTCAGCAGCATTCCACTAGATGGCGCCAAAAGCCTGCAGGAAATCAGGAAACCCTGCAAGTGATAAGGTTACCTTTGAG